ATTTATTTTAATCATTATGCTAAATGATTTTTTCGTTGCCTCATCTTTCACTTTTACGACCTCGACTTCAAACTCTGACAAAATTATTTTCTTGTAACTGTCCGGGCTTTGTAATATCAATAAAACTGAGGTGCTGATAAATCATAATTCCCACCTATGTGTATGCCGGAAAGTTCCCAACTTCATTAGCATAGAAACACTGAGCAGATTTCAACAAACAAAACAACTTGTAGACACTCAAACTCGCAGATACAAACCTCATGGGGGGCAGGGCAGGAGCTTGGAGGATTTTTCATCGTTGCCCGGTTTATATTTTGACGAATTTTTGGCCAGGCTAAAAGCATTTCCGTGTCTCAGTATTAGATTTTCGTGTTACTTTATTGAATTGTTTCGTTTCTTTTCTACACCAGAGCCTGGCAGCCAAATGCTGCAAGGAGATACATACTCGTATCTCTGGCAACGAAAATCTCTCAAATATGATGCCTTCGCACAGCAAATGACCCGCATATGTCTCCTTGGACCTTGGACCTGGTCATCAGGTTGTACAGGGAGATGGACACGACTGAGTCCAATACGGAGGCAGTCTTCAAGGACATTGAATAACACGCAACACTTGAGCGGACACATTTGACTAGATTTCAATCTTGTGTGAATATGGATGCGTTGGGCACAATCCGAGAACAGCTGTCCGAGATGGTCAGGCAAAATGGTGTTGGTGTGGCAGGGCGATGGAGAGTGGCAGGGTGGTGGATGGTGGGTGGTGCCACAAGTGCGCTTGTTGTCCGCTTGTTGCGCACTGAATTATTTATTAGGCATGTGTTCTCCTGTTTTGCACTAAGTGTCATTTTGTTGGCCAACAGAATTTGCCTTGTACCGTTTTTGGGTTTTGTCTGCCCCTCCAACGAGTCCACACAGAACGACTCTCTCTATACATTTGCCAGATCAGACAACCCAAAGTGTGTCAAAGTGTCTGAATATTTTATGGGGTTGCTCAAATGAAGCGCAAAAATAAAATAAAAAGCAGAGAACCGAACCGAATAGAAGAGACCGGAAGACAGAGGAGAAAATTGATTTAAAGTTGAGCTGTGCTTTTCCTAATTAAACTTGAGATTTGCATAATTTGAATTGCGCCGAAGTGGTAGTTGGAGCTGCAGCTGTAAGACCATCGAAGTGGGTTGAGGAATGTAATAAACTTGCACTCTGGATGTGTATGTATGTGTGTGTGTGGGGGGGTCTTTGACTTTTGTTTTGGCAATTGGAAGAAACATTCCCAAAGTTGCCAGAAAAAATGTGCAAAATTTGCACTCCTCGAAGATTTCATATTTGAGCTTCTCCTTTCTCCCGGCTCCTGGCTCGGCACAGGAATGCAATCAATTTGCAAATTTTCGCTGCTTTGCCGCGTTTGCAAATGCTCGAGTATTTGGCTCCTTAGCAGTTTTTTCTTCTCCCTATAGTATATAAGTACTTACACATATATTTTTGTATTTTTTTAGTTGCGTTTTGCCTTTTGCATTGCCATCTATTTTGTGTTATTTCTGCACTTGGCTGCTTGTCGGAAGCGCATCGAACGTTGAGACTATGCCGGAGCCGGAGCCTGAGCCGTCTATCTGTTCTTCGATATTCTCTTGAATTCCTGCTGCCGCTCTGGGGAGCAGCGAGTTATGCAAATTCAGCTCCCGTGGGGTGCTGGCCATGTTTTGTTGAGCCAAAGGTAGTCGGGCCTGGCCTTTTTTGGCAAATGGCGTAAAAATAGTTTGCGACTGCAAGCCATCAAAAAATGTTCACTGATCATTGGCCATCGTAGTGCTCTAATGAAAACTAGAATCGGGATTTTGCACTTGCCTGGAATACCTACCTATGTACATACATACCTATACTTTATGCATAGATGACTTCTTCCTTCTTTTACATTTCTACATTTTCCTATGTGCCATGTGTAAAATCGACAAATAATGGATGCCTCTCTCTCTCTCTTTCTGTGTGTGTGTGTGTTGGCAGTGCGCATTTGAATATCAATTCAATTGAATTCTTTGTGTGCTGCTGTGGCGCCTCCTGCTGAGGATGCTGTGGCGCATATTTCTCTGTGGCTATGGCTTCTTTCTCCGGCATCCGGCACTCAGCCTGACTGGCTGGCAATATACATTCCCCACAGCGTTATGCAAAGGAATTCGTAATGTGTAAATGCACCAGCCAAGTAGGGACTCAACTCTTCTGTGTGTGTGTGTGGTATGTGTGTGTACGAGTATTTGCAATAAATTGCAGCGGAAAATGTTGCATCTTTGCAGGCCATGTCGACAGGAATTTCAGCTCTACTTTAACAGTGTTTTTTTTTTGCATGTCGAAGTAGTAGCAATTAGTAAAGTTTTTCTTAAAGCTGCCTTTAAAGAGAAATCTGTTAAAGCCAACCCAAAAAATATGTAATTGACATTTGATATGAAAATTGGGGCAAAGAGTTTTAATGGCCAAATATTCTATATTAAAAATATAGGTGGAGAGGTGGCAGTGCGCTCGTCTGACAGCATCTTAAACAATTGCAAGTAAGATAAACCGATTTAAATACTTTGCTCTGGCCATTAATTACCTCAACTCAAATCAACTGAGAGTCAGTACACTTGCCTTTTCACAGTATTCTATACATATGTACACACACATATGTATGTATACGGTTTTATTTATGTTCGAAATAAATTATTCTGCTCACTCATCAGCATTTTGCGCTGTTATAAACACGTTTTTAATTAAAATTGCAAAAACAGGCAAAACATAGAAGCGGCAATAAAAGCAAACAACACGGTTTCTCTATACGAGGATATGTGGGCTGTGCTTGTGGTGCGGGAGGTGGAAAGAAAAAAATATATATGATGGCAGCAACTTCAATTAGCGCAAAATAGAAGGCAATTCCAAGTAGAACAAAGCCAGCAGCAAAAGCAGCAGTAGCCAGCAGCAGCCACAGCAACAGCAACAGAGTCACAAACAGACAGAGAGACACAGACCCACTTACCCCAGCAGCTCAAAGCAGAGGGGCCGGATGGACGGAGAGTTGTAGGCGCAACAGTTTTAGCCATAAAATGGCAAACACGTAATCATCGCAGCCTGATAAATGTGCGTGCAACAACAGCAACAGAGCCACGCACTCTACGGAACACTGGATACGAGTATCTACGAGTATGAAAGAACTAGAGATGGCAGAGCACAGATTCCCATACAAAATCGATCACGGAAAAAGGTATATGGATTCTAATATTCACGAAAAAAATATTTTCATATCCCAGCTGGGAAATATAAATTAAAATGAAATACTTATCCGACTAACTGTGTTTATTTTGTTCCTTAAGTTGTCTTGTCATTCCATTCGGGCTGGCATGAGTGATGAGAAAAACACATTCCATGCACATCTCTAGTGCGGCCATCCTTAGTCGGCGTCTGTATGGGCGCAACATCATCGACCTTCAGCATTTGTGCCACATTAATGAACTGGCAAGCCCGCATACACTCACTCAGTACCTCCCCGCATTCATTACGATTCATTTTCAGTTTTGCTATTCAGACATCGTTCTTCCCATGTGAATGATATTAGATGTGAACAAATATGTGTATACTTAATACGTATACATTATACATGACTATGTGAAGCTGATATATGCACACATGTAGATATTGTATGATATCCTTGCCACTTAGCCGCGGCAGGTTGAACAAATTGAATACAAAAAAAAAGAACACAAGCAATTGTTTACAATTCTGCTTTCCTTTCAAATCAAAACAAATGCTTTTCGAATTTATGTATGGTACCCGAAACTCCTACACTCGTACATACATGATTTTATGCCTCTCTTTCCCTTTGTGAGTGTTCCCTCACTCACTTTCTCTCTCTCCTTGTGTGATTGTGTGGAAATTCGTAACATTTTAACCCCTCACGTGCCAGAAATGAATTGGCTCCCAGTCAAAGTATGTGGGCCCCTTCAGGCAAAGACATCGAAATTGTCCTCACGTCTAGACATAATTTCTTCAATCATTTATTACCTAATTAAGTGGAAGTATAAATGCCGAACTCAGCCACCCGGTATGCCATTATGGGCGTGGCAGGTCAGAGGCTCTGTGGGAGGAGAGCAGGAACTCTTGCCTCGTTCTATTTTCATTCTCTTCTGGGCCAGCGCCTTTTGTATGCGAATTAACTGGCAAAATTCCAATGATTGACCTTACTCTTTGTTGCTCTTTGGCTCTCTCGATGGGTGTGTTTGTGTCGTCGAGTGCGGCGCAGTGGAGTGGTTACTGGGAAACTTGAGTTTAAGCCATGAAACGGCGCGCCGTTGCCTTGAGCAAGTGTCTTTGTCTTCTGCTCATCTTTTGTTCCTTGCAAAAATACAAAAGCATTGTGTGGCTTTTTCTTTTCCCGTTTTCTTTATTCTCTTCTTGGTATACCCTCGCAGAGGGTACTTCTACTTCTACTTATACCGAGATGATGTTTCCCACCCGCATAAAGAAGTACTTACGTCTTTATTTGAGGTATAGATCCTGGACCAGCATGAATCAATTAAGCTTTTCGGTGTAAAATTTTCAAGCTATCTGAATTTCTGCTGTTAAAATATTTAAAAGCAGGCTATTTGTATCTAAATCGAACGAATATATCATCTAGTTGTTATGGTTATGGTGGTTATGTAAGGGTATCTACAGCTATGGTACCCAAACATGTCCTGTCATGCTGGTACGTTTTGCTGTAGCCTTGTTTATGGATATGTTTGCTCCTGAAGCAGGTCTTCTCTACCAGCTGTCTTTGTTGTGTGTTTCTGCCTTGTATTTTCCATTGTAGTCATTGCTTTGTTCGACTCAATAGTGTCACATACTTAGTTGCCGATCGCTGTGGGGCTTTTGGGGGTCAATAATGAAGTGCACATTGAGAGTGGCACGTGGCTCACAAAATTGAACTATTTTACTTACCATTAGCTTTAACCTCCAGAATCCCAGACCCCGGAACCCAGAAGAAACCGAGATGATAGTCATTTAATTTTACTTTCTATATTTTGTTGTTCTTGTTGTTGTCACTTACTATTTTCTTTATTTTTATTACAAATATCGCTTGGTTTCACATTTCTGTTTAGCTTTATTTCATAGTTTATTTTTTATATATTATATTTAACTTTATCCATGTACTTCAGTTGGTTGCATACACACACACATATACATACATGTACGCTAACATAAAGCCCACAAAATGTATTCCTAACATATCGTATATGTAGATCCTATTTACTGTTGATTAGGTTTCAACTTAAGTTTTCGTTCTTCGTATTCCTCATGCATAATGGCCAGAGTTCTGCTCTGATTTTAAGTTTATGCTACTTTTTATGCATCCATGCTAGGGATTCGTATTTGTGTGCTAGTTTATATTTTCTTTCTGTCTTTTTTTTTTTGCTTTTTACATTAATGCTGTCTATTTTGTAATTTTCTTTCTTTTTCGTTTCGTTACGTTTTCTTTTCTTCATTTCTATTGTTATTTATTTACTTCAACGGTACTTTACATTGTAGCTACGCTTTGTCTTGTGCCGCACTCCGAGTGAGGGGTTGAAACAATACACTCGAGTGGACTCCGATATACCCCCAACTGATCTGATAACGATATATTCGTAGTGGCCATTAAAACGATATGCAATTGCACAGCAAATGAGCTCAGTTGCAGTGGCAAGCAACTCCGCTTATTCCCATAATCCTAAAGATACAGTTTCCCCTCTCATTCTTTGTCACTTTGCCTCTGACAGCGGCTGTTTTTTTTTTTTTTTGTGGCTGGCCTGGCTGTTGGATAGATTTAAATTCGTCTAATATTTAGCTAGAATATTTCTTAAGCAGGTTCTCAATAGACTTTACACACTTCTTGCTAGTTTTAATTTATTTCTATATTTTAAGGTTAAAGCGTTGCTTTCTCTAGAGACTATTAAAGTAGTTGCCAATGCTCTCTAACGTTTATAACTTGACTCGTACTGTATGTATATTTTAGTTTTGTTTATTAATATGTATAATTTGTTAAGGGTATATTTTTGCTTAGATATGCTGGGATTAGTTCTTAGTTTTGTGTCAACAGTGGTATAATTTGCAAGGATATTCGATAATGATATGGTTTAGCCCCTTGGTACATACATATATGTTCTATATATTACATTATCATTTGTTTAACTGAAGCGCAGGCTAGGGTATTGCCAGATATTGTATATTGTATAGGTATATATGTATGTATATATATTATATTTAATTTATGTATATAAACATAATACATATCGCCGTGTATATGCATTAAGGAAGACATTTTTTCATGATTGTGACCATTTTCGTTATGCGCACATTTTTCACACTTTTCCGCCACAAAGTATGTGACAAAAAGTTATTGCTCTCTTCTGTCAAATGGTCAAGCTTAGGCTTAGAGTGTTTTACTGTGTGTGTGAGTGTTAGTATGAGTGTGAGTGTGAGTGTAAGTGAGTGTGTGTCTGTGTGCCAAACACTCAATTAATATTCATAGAATTTTCATTCACACAGGTGTTGTTGTTTTTCACCTGACACATACTCGTCCTCTGATTTTTCCCCCCCCATACTATTTACAATAGTTTTTTTCTTTCTTTACATATTTTATATAAGGCTCAACTGAAGTTTCAATCAATATACAGTTCAATTTAGCTAATGGTTTCATATCATAATTGTTGTATATATGTCAGACATATTATTATATATCGTTGTATATTGTTATATAAAGAACTATATACAAAAGATTCGAGCAGGGGCATTTGTAAGAACTTGGTTTTGTGTGTAAACTTTGTTTAGGTGTTCATATTGATATGTACTGTTAGTATTTAATTACGTTAATTGAGTTTTAAGTTGTTGGTTGTACGATATATACAGAAAAACAGAAATGCTAATCGGGATACTGTGATAGCAATGAAACCTGTTGAAACGAGGCGAGAATATGGCTGCTGGCCGGAGATCTCCCCCCTACGGCTATGTGAGAAGTGTGTGGCAACAATTGAAATGCAGAACGCATAATGGATAATGAAACCGTAATTGTTTTCGCGCCTCCAAACGAAACGGTAAACTGTGAAATAAATTAACAATAATATTTCGCTTGAGAGTGTTAAATGAGTTCATTTCGTTTGGCCATTTCTGTTGTCTGTGGATAAGGCCTGAAGAGGCCGTGACAGGACATGCCCGACCGGGACCGAACGTTTGCATACACATTAAAATATAATTAAAAATCAAAAGAGAGAAGGAATATGCATGAGAAATAAACATTGTTAAGGCGGTTAATAATTCTTTTTAATGGAGGCGGCCAAGAACTTTATAGAGCTTAAATAGCAACAACCAAAAAAAGAGCAATGGAATATTGACTGCTGCAGGTTGATGATAATGATGAATGACTGACAGAGTTTACATATGTGTATGTATATTGTTTACCGTATAAAACACTAGCTACGGGTAGTACCATATTCAAACCCATTCTATTTACAGGCCACATCAAATCCAACTATCGAGTGTCTGTTTGTTATTTGCTAAGAATATTATTATGTAGACAGCAGTTTTACTTTTCACTTTAAAGTATTGATAAATCTAGTTGAGTTCTATATATTGTAGGTATTTATGTATGTATGTATACTGTATCGTAATGCTTCACATACTCGTACGTATCAAAACAGACAGCAACATCGTCAGGGTTCAACAACAAAGCTTTACAAAAATCGCAGCTAAACACAGAACTAGCCCCTAAATGTATACAACATATATTCATATCATATGCTACTCCATAAATGTACGATACGATTGCTATACCACTATACCTCGCAATATCCCCGATGCCCGGTCATGGCATATTTTATTTAGTTATAGCTATCATTAACACGATCCGTATATCGCGTATATAGTACCACCACCACCCGCCCTTACACATATCTACTACGTACAGTTATCCAGTTGTCCTGGGCAATTGTCTGAGCCCTTAGCTATGCGGCTGTCATGTCGCTACGCGGCCCACTCTGCTCGCATCGCTCATACGCAGCGTTGTCGTGGAGAGATAGGCCAGCGTGAGCAGTGCCAGGTGGAGCAGCCGGTGGCAGCCACTCGCCTGCCCATGCCCACTCTGGGCAGCACTCGTGCTCTCTGGCCAAATGACCTCGACTTCGGACATTTTGAAAATGCTCAGCAGTCGGTGGGATTGTAGCTCATTGTGCTCAGTATTGATTTGATGACTGATGGTCTTCAGAATCGCGGTGCACTCGTCCTGCAAGCAGCCAGATAAGCCATAAATGTTGGGTTATTGGGTAAATGGATTATTAGGGGAAATCGAAATAGATTTGCTGGTTGGCAGTTTGTGTCTGTATGGCCAGCGGCATGTTGACGTTGACCCACCCACCTTCTCTTTGCGCAGCAGCTCAATATCTTTGAGTTTGCCATCGTGCGGCAGGCGTGCAGCAATGATGATGTTCTCCTCGGTCATATTGAAGAGTGTCAGCGTACACTGGGTCTGCACCAGGTAAAATTGGAAAGTAGAAATGGGAAAGTAGAGTGGAAAAAGCATTCAACGGAATGCAATTAATACATTTTTGGCCATTGTTCTTTCGCTTCCGGCTTACCTGATTATCGATGTATGTGGTAACGTACTGCTGCAGGGCACGCACGGCATCCTGCACCCCCAAATTGGTGTGTGGTCGGAGCAGTGCCTCATCCGCGGCACTGTAGCCCAGCAGCAAGAAGACGCCACCTGGTAAAATAAAAAAAATAAGAAATAACGAGAAGGAACGGGTGAGTCGCTTCTATGGACGCGACTCTAATTTTATACCCGTACTCAGTCAGTTTATAAACTTTGTGAGCTTATGAGCGGAATTTTGAAATAAACTTGTAGAAGTTTTATATCACATGAGTCTGGAAACTAAATTTGGTTTCTCTAGCTCTTATAGTCTCTGAGGTCTAGGCGCGGATCATGACAGACGGACGGACAGACGGACAGACAGACAGACATGGCTATATCGACTCGGCTATTGATGCTGATTAAGAATATATATACTTTATATATGCACTTTTACCACAAATACAATATACCCCTTAACTCTTTTTGAGCACGGTTATAAAAGGGGGTGGAATGCAACATCAATTGCAGCAAACGTAATTTACTGGCGGCCATGGCACGCAAGTGGCATGTGGCAAGCATGGACAAGAGCCACGCAACCTTGCACCCAGCGCGACCACAATGGATTTGTGTGTCAAATGTGGTCTGAAGTGCTCTACAGACTGAAGATGATGCCCCGACAAAGGGTTTTCAACTAGAATAGAGATGCGTTTGTGCCGTGATAGAGTAGGAGGAGCAGAGCAGAGCATGCTCTGCCCTCTGCATGGTGCAGCCACAAAAATGCTGCGTACTTGACAGCCCCGCCATCGTCATCGCCTGTCGCCGACGATAATCGTTAAGTGCTCAACCCGTGGCGGACCCGCCGACACGCTCCACGTATAATGTGGCAGTGACGTAGCCAAAGTCTCGACTCACCTGGCAGGATGTACTCCCCGAGCGGCGGCTTCATGCAGATGAAGCGACCCGAGTAGCAGAGGCAGCGACCGCGGAACGCTTGGTAGGCGGGCGATGCGTGGCTGTAGAACGCCAGGGCGGTGCGACAGGGGGCGAATGGCACGCAGAGGGCGTGGCAGGTCAGGGTGAGGGACTCCCCGCAGCTGCACAGCTCGCTGCACTCGGCGTCGTCCAAAGAGTAGATCTGCAAAATAAATCCCCCCCAGAATAAAAGAAAAGAAACGTTGAATAAGGGCACCCATAAGGTCTAATATTACGCGGACGTCACGTGTAATAATAATTCATAGTCCCCTCATAGTCGAAAGTGAAATTAATTTCCTATTAGCATTTCTTGTTCGCATTCTATTTGTACGTATATTTTGTACGTTTCCTTCTTTACCACGTGCTTACACGTAAGCTGGGCATGCCGGTGTTATGCTTTCCCAGATATGCAGCTTTTCCACACTTTCCGCTGCCATTCCGCTTGGCTTTTCACGTTTCGTTGCTGTGTGCCGACGCGTCGGCTCAACTTTTAGTTATGTTAATGTGTTTAAATGCACTCCCTCAACACCAACAGAAAAAGACCCAAACAAACAATTCAAAAGGAACACACAAAATATAGAATAAATTTTGCCGCTGAAAATTAAATTTAAATGAACGAAATAATACACTCAAACGAAAGCACAAATTTTCATTGCTGCTAATTAATCTCGATTTTCATTTGAATTTGGCCAATTATTTTGTGATGTGCGCAATGATTGGCCAATTATAGTAGTTTTTGGTTTAAAGTTTAGACAAAATTATATGTAGATCCTAACTCACCCGTTTGCTGCTGCCTTCTCGAATTAGCTGATCCGATTGGTAAGGACGCTGAACCACGCAGTTTCCTAAATGGTGGAAATTTATTTGAAATTAAATTGAATTTCTAAATGTTTATTGTAATATTTGAATGGTTATATCAGTCTTAGGTAGCCTGTTTAAAACCTTTAACACCTATATATGGGCTGCATATATTTATACATATATCCCATTCCCATCCTTATTTTATATTTCTCCTGGAACCCTTTCCCCAAATGTAGCGCTATACAACTTAGTTTTTGTTTATCCCAAAATTATTCATTATTTAATGTCGAAAGGAAAACTCAAATCAATTCATAAATCTTTAAATATAACTCAATTTGCACTATTTTGCTACATTTGACATTCAATTAAATGCAATTTGCACTTCCAACTAAGCCTGATGTGTGGTCATGTTTGTGTGGGCTCCAGCCTTGGCTAACACAGACACAAATAACTCCAAGCAAACACACAGACACACACACAGAAGTAAGCATTCGAGTCCCTTTTTTTTTAGTTCGTGTTTTTTTTTTTTGGTGGCAGGCAACGTATACAATGCGACCCTGCCATTCATTCTCAAATAACGGATGTCCGCCACTCATGTGGAGTATTCATCATGTCATCAACGCCATTACGAGTTTTTCCAGGCTGAAGTTTACGGCTGGAGTGGCTGCAAATGTGTGTTTATGTAACACACATTTTCACATTCGAGACTTGAGTTGAAGGAGGAGACGGAGACCCTTCCACTTAATTACAGGCAATGTGCCGAGCTGGCAATCATAAATTCTGAAAATTCAGTCTAACTGCCACCCTGGGCTTTCAATAATCAAATCCATTTTGCCAAAAACTTTACCAATAAAGCCGCTACGAAATATGCATAAATAATAGGGCTCTGCAATAGTTAAATATAGTTTTAAAATTTCCGCCTCACTTGCCAACAAAATCAATTATAGATGAGACACAAACAGGTTCTATCTGCCGCCGGGGCACAGCAACATTTCATGCAAAATGCATAGCCAAATGTCCCAAGTGTCTAAATAATTACAACAGACGAGTTGACCACACAGGCTGACTGCGTGACTGACTGACGGACTGACATCCCGACTGAGGGTCTGGCACACGTTTTGGGCTGTCGGACTGAGGGCCTGACACACCGTTGGGCGGGCGGACTGATGGACTGGATGGCAAACAAACAAACTCATTTACATTTTTAATGATGTTTGCAAACACGTTTTGCCCTCGCCCACTCACTGTCTCTCTCTCCCTCTCTCTCCCTCTCTCTCTCTCTCTCTCTCGGACTGTCTCTCAATGGTTGCATGTTGGAGTTTGTGTGATAAATGAATGGACAATAAACGATGTCCTCTGGCGGAGGTTTTAACTAACGGAAGTATTATCACAATGCAGTCGAGTGATATGTTTTGATGGGTAGTATACCCACTCTGCGTGTGTGCGTTTGGCACACAACACACACTCGTATAATCGGATTTGGAATGTACTAGAATCGCAAGACACATTCTGAACCGTAACTTTTCACTAGAGAGAAGGCCGCATAATTGCCACATCATCCGAAAGCAAACTCATTTCCGGCCACAGACACAAACACACACGAAACAAACATGCATGCGGATATGAGGAGGGGGCCATAACCAATATAGATACTGAATTTTAAATGATTTTTGCACAAAATATTAAAATAATAATGATGGTCGGCGCTGAGTTATGCTTTCAATTAGCCAAACAACCGCAGTCACCGCATCAATTATGTGGCAAACTTCAAAACGGAAACGAATCCCAAATACGACGATTATATGTACTGACTGCTGGGAAAAGCTCCAATATCAAAGGTGTCTGCGGAGTGCCTCTTAATTGGTATTAAGTTGGTCAAAACTTTAAATTAGGCATCAGAGAGTCGAGTCGAGTTCGAGTTCGGGTCGAGAGATGTTTTGTATGAAATATCACATTTTATGTCATAAGCGAGCACGTGTGCATGCATCAGGGAAGAGTAATGTGAGTGGCAGATCCCAACTGGACTCCAGTTGGGCTCCGTCTCCAGTGACTCTGTCGCCCAGTTGCAATTTATAACCCACTTGCATTTACTTACTTGGCGGCTGCGTTGTTGTTGTGGTTGCCATTGTTGTGGTTGTGGTCACCGGCTCTGTGATGCTGATGCCCACAAACTCTGTTGTTTCCCTTGGGTCAACGAAAATTACTGGATCATCGAAATCTACACTGCCAGCACTGCCACGACCCTTGCCGCCATTTTTACGTCGACTGCCATTCCCATTGCCATTGCCACTGCCGTTGCTGTTGCTGTTGCCGTTGCTGTGGCCATTGCCATTGCCATTTCCATTTCCGTGTCCATTGGCATTGCCGTTGTGATAATCGTCATTTCCGCCATTTCCGCCGCTCTCGACGTTTACGCTGGGTAACGGTATCGAATCGGGCGGATCGAGATAATTGTGTTCTACCGATGCTGGCTCTGATTTCTCTTTTGGCTGCTGTTTCCCCACAATTTTTTGTTGTTGTTTTTATTTATTTTTTTTTTGTTTGGTTTGGTTTTGCGTTTCGTGGTTTTTCAATTTTGTTGTGCAGTGGAACGTTGGTGTGTTTTTTTTTTGTTTTCGTACATTTTTATTTATTTATTTGCATTTTTTGTGGTTTTCGTTGCGGTTCATTGTTGCAATTGTTCGCAGTTATTGTTGTAGTATTTTTTGTTGTTGCCACATGAAAGGGAAGGGCGAAAAGATGTTAAAGAGTTTGAATGCGAATATTTTTGTGTATGGGGCTTAATCTTTTTGCTGCTGTTGCTGTTGCTGCTGCTTCTGCTTCTGGTGCAGCTGCAGGTCAGGAATTGATTGCTTTGTCGGTTTGCCAACCGGAGGAACTGGGCCAAAAGCAGAACCAGAACCAGAACCAGCAACAAACCCCGGTTCTGTACCAGAATCGAAGCAGGAGCAGGATGTGGACTTTGTTCTGGCTGGTATGTTGTGGCATATTGTACCCGCCGCCGCCACTCCTGTGGAGCCACTGATTGAGTGCTGATTGGAAAACAGAAAACGGACCACCGACAACTATATGGATTGATAGTCGCAGGCAGGGGAATGCCGGGAGAGGGAATGAAACAGGTAACTGTTGTTGATGCCTGTTAAAATCGGGTAACGCTGAATGGAAGGCCACTAGTTGACCGCAGTGGGGCAATTAGGATTCAAACATGGCCCGTCTGGACCCTGGACCCTACTTACCGCATTGAAGTCCTTGAAGATGTGCGTGGCCGGCTTCCGGGCCGTTTGCTTCGGCTGCAGGCTGGTCGTCGTCGTCGTTGTTGTGCTGGTCGGTGGTGGCGGTGGGGGTGGCGGTTTCTGGGTTGTAGTCGTTGTTGTTGTTGTCGTGGTCGTCGTCGTTGTTGTGGTGGTGGTAAGGAAACCCAGCTCAGCCAGTCGCTTCATATGGAAATCCTTTTGGGCTTCAACTGTCAAAGGAGGGAAATCGCTGGTTAATGAGGATGCAGGAAATGGAAACAGTAAACCTGATACTAAGATAAAGGGACATTATAAAAGTACATAAAGTAAAGTTAACTCCAATATATATTTTAAATATTTTAAAGAAAATATATTTAACAGTATCGAGAAATACCTACTGTAGCTACAGTGGCTGGGCATCACTTACCCACACAAGGATTCATCCACAACAGACGCCGCCAGCCGACGCACTGGTACAGATGCTGTGGATCTGTACCCTGGCAGGCACAGGTGGTGCGCAGCATAGTGCCCAGGATGCCAATCATTGCGGTTCGACAGCCGCTGGGTCGGCCGGCACACTTCTTAGTGACGCTGTCCACGGCGCAGGCCTGCTCGTAGTACTCTAGCTTGAGCCTGCCACAAGCAGAAAGAAAAAAGAGAGAAACGGAGTTCAGATAATGCTAAACAAAGTCATAAAACCCGAGTAAGCTGCCCATCTCCATCCCCATCCGCATGCAGGAAATGTCTCTGTTCATGTCTTCAGGTTTGTCATGCGCTAGTTAGTTCCAGTTGCAGCCAACTCTCTGCTATCCTCTTACAAGTGATGTCTGTGAATGAGTGCCAGTTGCCGTTACCTGCACTGCAGTCGTCGGTGGCACATTCTCTCAGCACCCTTGCCTGAGATTGATGTTGTCCAATTTATTCTGAAATTACTCTCGGCATTCTACTGCATTTCATAGTCTTGGGCAAATGCTTCCTCCGCTACAAAATTTACGATGCCCCAAGTCTCAGGAATCTGGGTGAGATTTTTGTCAAGTGCCATGCGGCGTATGCGTAATATTTCACTTGCAGATTATAGTAGACCGATGGCCAAATCGTTGGAATTCCAATCAGCTTGGTTGCAGCCTAATTAGGGTTCAATGCATCGGTTCTGCACCGCAGATTGCATTTCTCAGCAGCTCAAGGCTATCGCTTCAAATGGGAATACAAACAGGTAGAAATATTTCCATGGGAAAACGCTCATAATTGCCTTGAAGTCTTTTCTATGGAAAAACTGCCATGAATACTTTCTCTAAGCCCCACCTTTTTTTATTACAATCTTTGCAACTTTTTTCCCTCCCATTAGCCGCGCTGAAACTTTGCCCACTTTGCCACAAGATGAATATTTCTCGGAGTCAGCCCAATCAAGCGCTGACGCAATCAACGGGAGATTCTATGCCCGTGCAGTCGCTTGTGCAACGAAAAGTTGCAGCACGCAGCCGGCCAAGTGCAGTTTAAGACATTGGTTCAGCTTCAATGGAAAGGCAGCCAAACAAATGGGCATTCAGTTGGAGCCAGCCCCCGCCCCGTCTCCTGGGTTCGCGGCAGGCGCACGGGCACGGGCACGTGTTGGTGCACAACCCGTCGTATACGTAATAAGTCAACATAAGCACTCGACACAGAGTGAGAGCGTGAGGCAGGGAGTACAGCACACGTTGCATAGAAGTTCTCAAACATGCGGCAGACACCTCCTTCTCCTCGTCCTCCTCCACCATGTGTCTTCCTTCTGCAGCATACAAAATGAGCGTCATTAGTCCAATTTAGTTGTTTGCCAAAGCAAGTGCGATTCACTTAAAAGGCAATTAATTTCCAGAGCCACAGCTACGACCACGTACTTTGCGGTCGTTCAGCCGTAACATGACAACAAACAAACACCCTAAACACACTCTCGTGCCCCCCAGAGCTATGCAAACACACACACATACATCACTCTATCTCTCTCACTCTCTCTCTGTCACTCTCTGGAGATGGTGTTGCATGTGGGTGTTGCATCCTATTTATAACTTAACTTTGTGTTTGACACATTCGCGCGGTCTGGCCCCAGCCTAGCTGCAGGTTCTAAGTTTGGCTGTCAACTCTTTGCCGCAGCCTGCAACTTGGCCTGCTTAAATGGCAGCCTGGTTTAATGAAGAGCATGGTCTGCCGAGCGGAGTCTGGTAGCCCCAGCCAACTGGTAATTTTATGCCCCGCTTGCTTGCAACTGCTAAATTTGAGAGCAAATCCCAGCCAGTGCTCCTCTTCCGGCCACTCCTGTCGGTACTGTCGGTGCTGTCGGCCCTGTGTTGCCGTTGTCAATTTAACGAGTTTATCAAAGTGCCATCAAAGTTGCGGCTTTCGCTGACTTTGCCGTGGCTAAAGCTAAACGCTTCTAATTCAATAAAACGCGAGCGTGTGACTAAGTCGATTAAATGCAATTTCGCTTAATTGAATTGAAACCAAATAGGGAAACAAAAATTGCACTAGTAAGAAAGTTTAAGCCGATTTTTGGACTCTCCTGTTACGTAGATTTATTTTGGAAATTTTAAACCACTTGACTCTCATAATGGAAGGTTAAGGAATGGCTATAGTTCCAAATAAGAATTTAATTAGGCTGCCCATCTCAAATGTCTTCAAGGATTCGATATACCCTTGTTGTCTGTTGTTACGTGGTACTAAAAATGATAACCGCCGTACTTGTGTATCGTTTCATGGCGAGAAATTTACATTGCGTTGCGCATATTTCCCTTTCCGTTTCCGCTTAACGGTAAATTTGTGAAATATGTGCTTTTGTACCCACCTGCACTCGCGATCCTCCTTGCAGCTTTCGGCCACTACATGACAGGCGGGCGGTGGATGGTAGTAAATGCCATTGGAGCTGGCTGGATTACTGTTATCAGGCGGCCGCTGTGCACACACGGGATGCAGTTTTTCCTGTGCAATCATGCACATGTCGTGCCGATTGCTGTTCTGTTGCATGCTGCTGGTTTTTCTGCGACGAACAATGAAAAGTGGCGATTGTTGATGGTGTGCTTCTGTGTGGTTTTTGGGATTTTGGGTGGTTTTCGGGGAATTTGCTGGCCTGTCCAGCCACTTACTTGCATAGACAAAAGGCAATGTCCAGATTTAGGTCCTCGTGCGGACCCTTGTAGAAGGCCTGCAGTGATGTCATGCACGCATTGCGATTGCACCGATGCAGTTCACAATGCATCAGCATTGGCTGCAGGGATGACGAGCAGGACGGATCTTCCCGGCAGGTATCCAATGCTGTGTGACAGGTACTCTAAGGTTGTTTTGGGGAGTGCGATTTGAGCAGAGAAAAAGTAATAAGCGTTCAAAATTGTGTACTGCTGCACTTGCAATTGTGCTGCGTGTCTCGTTTTTGGGCTTTTCTTTGCGGCACTCACCTGAAAGTGTTGCTTGATTATTTCCGTTGAGAGGTCAACTTCCAAATCCTGACCACCTGCATTGGCAACGGACCGAAACGTGCCCAAGTGTGGCAGTGGCAATGGGATTTGGGTTGCATTTTGCATTTTCATTTGCATCGCAAAAAGTTACCCAGGAGAGGTGAATCGTTCGACAGAGTTTAGTGACCACAGGGGGGGCAGGCGTGTAGAAAATGTTTGAAATAGTTCATTAGTTTTCAATTTACACAACCGTTCCCAACATATTCGATTCGGGCTCGGATTTATCGACTTATCCGCTGTACCCACACCCGCACCCGCACCCGTACCCGTACCCGTAACCCAAATCCACACACCATTCTGTCGATTCCAACCTGGTGAATCTGCATTAGCCGGGCAATTGATTTGGTTTGGTTTGGTTCTGGTCAAAGCACAGGATGGTTCCCATTCAATTGTAAAATCCTTGATTACGCCAATTGAGAGAGAACTTTGGGACTAATTAAAATGTTAAATAAATGCGAGCTCTGCCTTTGTTTGTGCATACATATTTGCCGCTCTATGCCCTTAATTAATTTCATTTATTTGTTTTAATTTCGCTCTCAATTGGCTTATTTATTTATTCCATTCACATATAATTTTAACATGGAAATGTATTTAATGTTTAACTGTTATGATTATAGGCGTTTAGGGCCTAAACACAACTCAATTATGTTATGGGAGGTTGGGTGAATTATGCTCATTTTTATTTCGATAACCACATCGAAAGTTTGGATGAGAATATCAATCACTGTGGCCGCCAGTCGACAATCGCCAGCAGCCAGCAAGCAGATACCACCAGGTTGGCGCGGGTGACAGCTATCGATTGCATTTTAATTAACCAACTTTTTGTTCGCTCTTCCCCTCGCAGCACAACACATAAAAATGATCGAAATTATTGAATAAAAACAACAACAAAAAATGCACATAAATAACGTAAATTAAATGCAAATATTCCACAAATTTGTTTATTGCCTATGACTGTAATCCAGGGAGGAGATTGAGATTCGGAGAGTAGAAAAAGTGAGAGTCAATTAGGGAATTTATGGGGTATTACTTGTGGTCTGAGGGGGGGAAGGGCGTAATCGTAGGGTCGCAGGGCTGGCAAAACACAACTAGGTTCTAGAGATATATGTAGGTATATTTATTATTAAATATAAAGTTATTTAAGTTATTTGTTCGACTTTAAAAACTACCAAAACCTACTGATAAAAATATTCTTTTTTAAGGGGGATCGAACGGCAACGATATGTTCTAACTCCTGTTTCTGTGTGTATGTGTGTGTGTGTGTGTGGGTGTATGTTTGTGTGGGTGAGTGGGTGTCTGCATGGGTACACTCCTCAACAGTAGGCAGCACTTTATGCCCGACTCAGGGGTCCATAGCTCTCATGATTCTATGCAAATGTTATTCCAATTGAACGAGTGTTTCTTTGGCATACTTTATTGGTTTTCTGTACGGGGACTCTGTGTGTGTGTGTGTGTGTGTGTTCTTTAAAACGACATAAAAACTCGTTGCAGACTCGGCAAAAATGAAATGAATACGTATGTATAAAAGAAAAAGAAGAAAAAAAATGTACACGCAAATAATTAAATTTTAAACGGAAAACGGAATAAGCCAAACAGAAATACGAGTAGCAGCAGCAAAGCCAACAAAAAATGTCTTAACACAATCAATTTGTATTTGGATATTTTCTCTTTGAGGGGATTTCCTTATTGCTTTCTGCTCTTTTTTTTTTTTAATCAATTTTAACCTCAGGTGGAGTAGTTTTTGTCTGAATAGAAATTTCCTAGGCGCTGTCTTTGAAGTTCAAAGAAATCAGATGCTTTGGTGGTTTTGTTGTATGAAACAATGAGTTTGATGGCGAGTGTATTACTTCCATGTAGATTGTTGTATGACACAAATGGTACAAGTATATTGTTTTGCATTTGAAAGGTATGGTATAATGACTTTGGAGCCCAAAAGATGAAACGCTTTGTCGTTGGGTTAATTGTTGTTTGGTTTGGATTCAAAAAACTGTGCGTTGGAAAAAATTTGAAAAAAGTGTGCTTGAATTGAGCTGTAACAAAATTGGTTTGTCTTTGGTTTTTTTGTTTTTGTATTATACTTTTTCTTTTTGGTTTAAGTTTGAATATATATTTTATTAAAGAAATTAAATGAATTCTGTTTTAGTTCAGGTTTTTTTTTAAATTTTCATTTTGCTCAATTAACGCTAAACGAAAGGAAGAAGTTTGTATCGATATTAAAACTTTTTTTTGTACAATTTTGAGTTGTTATTTTTTTGGTTTTTTTTTTTTGTTTTAGTTTTCAGTTAGTTAAACAAAATGACAAACAAAATTCATAGTAGAAAATATTGTTTTAACGCATTTGAAGCAAATTGTTTGGTTTTTAGTATATTCTTGTAGGAAAATTTTCAAAAAACTCTCAAATCAAATGGCAAGCTACGTAAAAATGATGTAACACAAAAGAGAGTTTGAGTTGTATTAATATTTATATATTTATAAATAAGCTGAAATGTATATTTGTATTTTTTGTTTGTTTGAGCTGTAACTGTTCTTTCATTGGTTTTTGTAATATTTAAAAGTTGATTGAATGCCAAAAATTATGCAAAAATCCACGAACCGCGCACAGTTGACGCTCGATTTTTGTGGTTCTATATATACTCAGTATATACATATTCACCTTTAACGCAAAAACGAAAATTGGAATGATTTTGGATTTGGTTTTTCCAACAAAATGTACCTGAAACATGGAAGGGCGTAGTGGGGAGTACTTAGTTACAGGGCGGGGGGACAGCACAAATGGAAATCATAAAAAATTCACAAATATCTATCTAAAATGGTGAACGAACGAACGAATGAACAAACTAACTTGGTTTTTTTTTTTTTTTTTTTTTTTTTGCCTGTTAATTAGTTCGAGCAGTTTGCACACACAAATTTGTATATGTAGTATATCTGGATATTTCTGGATATTTCATTTGGAATATACTTTTTTGTTGTTGCACATTTAGCTGCTATTTTTTTTGGTATTTGTATTTTGTATTTGTTCCTATGCAGTAGTACGTGGATTTTGTTATTTATGGATTACGTTCATGCTATTACGTGTACACATACTTTGATAGTAAACACCGGAATTTCCGTTTCCGCCGTAGCCGAGGCCCGTATCAATGATATCGAATGGCTCATTTTCGACGGCCGCCGCTGCCATGTGCCGCTGATGGAAGCCGCTTATATTGAACGGATAGCTGGGCACGCCGTGCATCGAGCCCGGATAGTTATAGTTATAGCCGCCCGAGAACCCAAACCCGGATGCGGGGCTGGAGCCGAAGCCAGAGCCGGAACCGATGACGGTGCCAGAGCCGGAGCCCGGGCCGCCCAATGCAATCAAGGGCGTATCAATTACGGCCAAATTATCATTGAAGATTCTCTGATGCTGTCTCTCGTCCATGCCCAATATTCTTACTGCAATTTGGAATTAGCAAGAAGAGAGAGGGGTAGAATGGTTGTAGTTGTAGTTGTGGTTGTTGTACTTGTTCAGTGCCTTCTATATAAGATTGTTGTTGTAGTCTTAGTTGTTATTTGTTGTTGTTGTTGTTGTGTTGTTATTGTTATTTGTGGTTGTTGCAGCTACGCAGCATTTGAGTTTTCCAATCAAATTCGCATTAAAATTCTGTATCGATTGGTTTTTGCTTGGTCATTTGGCTTTCTTACAATCGATTTGATTAATTATTTGACATGAAAATAAAATGTTATGTGTGCCAAATACTTTTGGCACATAATTTTCGCTATAAGAGAGTTTATTAAATAAAAAAAAAACAAAAAAAATAGTGAACCAAAACACACAAGTCAGAGAGTGTTAACGAAAGTGAAGAGAAAAGTTGATTAAACGTACGAGTACAGAGGAATAAAAGAATGTGCTCTTAATTATTGCGAGTATCATCCACGATTAGTGCTGGGGGGGTGACAGGGACAAAGAACAGTAAAACGTTTTGCATTGAATTTGGAGAGCTGGGGAACCATCCGGGCAGAACCGATTTCCATTTCAGTCTGGCCACGCTTCGATGGACATTTTCGGGGTTTTGGACCCGTTGCTATCAATGGCCACACATAAACAGAATGTCTGTCAAATGTCATGCGCTGCTGATAGAGCGCGCAAATGGCAAACGGTTCGACGACAGCCCCAGGTCTGAGGAGTCCGTGCCGCAGCCGCAACAGCCAGCCAGCCAGCCAGCCAGCCAGCCATTTCCATTGCCATTGCTTATCGCGGCAAGAGCACGCCAAAGTGCGCTTCATTGGAGGTGCCGGTGCTGGTGCCTGGCTCAAAGCTCAAAAGGATGCGATGCCAACGAACGTCCCACCCAGAACCCTCTCCCACGGAGTGTGCTGGGAGCAGACATATCGTTGGAGGGTCAACTGCTGGCGCTAAATGGCTAAGGATTTGTCGGGAGACGTCTCTACGAGCACAAGCCCGAGTATATATGCGTTGATTCGTATTTATGTTTGTCGCTCACATTCCCTGGCAAATATTTGCCAAACAAACACACTGACGGGCGAGCTCTGGATGTCTTCTGGGGGAGCTTGAATGGGATTAGCTCCGTTTGTTAACTGTTATCGCGCTTGTAAGCTGTTTGTCCTGGAGTGGATCAGGGGCCATGTTATCTAATTGTTGCGCATACGCAATGTGGTCCCCGCCTGATTGTTTCAATACAAAACGATTTTACTGCATTTCGGTCATTTTGCTGGGCGTTTTAGCACACAAAAGCAGAACAGTTCATGCCATGTATGTTAACTGTGTAGAATAGAGCATTAAAGGCGATTTACACAGATGCTCGCACATGAATCGAATCCCACACAGAAACATAAACGTGCACATAAACATTGAGCTACAGATACAAATACAAATACAGATACGGTAAAGCAGAAATGGGAGCGAGCGAGAACTAGAACAAAAACAGAAACAGAAACATGAACAGTCAGAGTGCGCGAAATTTTATACAAACTCATAAACAACGCATATAAATTTCAGAATGTGCAATAATTCCAAAATTACGCTGCATGTGTTAGTGTGTGCGTGTGTGGGTGTTCGAGAGTGTGAATAGAAATGGGAACAGGCTGCATCTGGCTGGGAATCGGGTTACGGCTGCCATATCAAATAGCCTAGCCGAACGGCCATCCGTGGTTTTCATGCCCTAATTGGGAGCAGGAGCAGTCCTGCAAGCAGCTGCAACAAGCTCACAGTCATGCATGACAGCCATGCACAAGCATGCAGTGAGCAGCCAAAAGGTGTTGGCGGGATGGGCGCACTGAAATGGCGAGGGTTTGCGTTTGTGGTATCAACGTGGCCCTCTGCTCTGCGCTGCTAGTACTTCTAAGTGGATTGTACAATATTATGAAAATATTTATTACACGCAAACATCCACATACTATCCCATATTTGTGTGTATGTGTCTGTGCGAGAGTGTATCACCCACCCATGCACGGGTTGGTGTGGTGTGGATGTGGGTGTGGTGTGGGTTGGAGGTGGCGCTGGAGGTGAGGTGTTGGGTTGGCGTTGGCTCTGTCGTGGAGTGCATGTTTGACTTGTTTTGTTATTGGCGCAATGCTGACAAATCGCTTTATTTGCTTTTTAGTTGCACTTAATTAAATTTTCAAATGAAAGCTTGGCTTGATTTTTATACACCAGATACCCTTTACATCAAAAGGTTACTCAACAAAGAAGTATTTTCATATTTATGATTTGAAAACAAGATTATTTTTACGTTGACCGACCCTATTATGATCTAAAAAAACTACACTTTTTAGTTGTATAATTCGAAAAATCTGCAGAAACCTTTCGGCATGTACTGTTTAGTTATAATCTTTGATTTGCAGGGCATCAACTTAGTCCGAAGTTTTTTACTAATACTCATCATATTTATTTATTTTCACGAGCCATTGTTGCATTGTATTTGTGGGATATTGTTGATGCTATTCCGGCAGATTTGAACCCCTCCAGGCCTTTCCCAATGTTTATGCTTTGAATTTGAGAAAATCCAATCAGCTACAATAACAATTCAATTTAAATTTTGCAAAAAAAATAAACAGGAACTGCCTCGATACGAGTATTTATGGCTATCTATTGGCATTTCGGGCACGGAATACCCCTAAACTGATAACCGCTGCTATGTAGCTGTTGTTAATTTACTGGTCGCCATAAACGTAAATAAGGCAAATGTGCACATGTGTGTGTGTGTTTGTGTGTGTTTGTATGCTTTGACGTGCATAAATAGTTTGCTAATACGAGTATCTACAACAACGAACAGCCGCAGTCCCCCGGCTGGGTGGCTGCTGCTGCAGCTGCTGCAACAATGGACAATGCAGATGCAGATTGGGAATTGACAGCTTTTGTCGAGCAGATGCCACAGTGAGGGCTGGGAAAAAAAAAACAACAACAACGTTACAAACAAAACACCATCAATGAGGATGATGGACGGCCAGCGTCAAATGCGAGTGAAATTTTGTGGCAATAAACAAAAATAGAAATGCACAACGAACAATTGAGGGCTATATATTGTACGAGTACGAGTACCAGAGGGGATGCATTGATTAGGGCATTAGCAAATGCTGGAAAGATGATTGGAGTCTGGGTGAATGGGCTGCATGGGCTAAAAATGGGGACAACAAAAGGATAACTATTCTATATAATATAGGAAATAGGAGCATAATAGAAGTACCAATATTCAGAGAGCCACAGTGGAGTGCAGTGTAATTCGATGTGTTGCAGTTTATCTGCTTCGATTTTGATAGAGAACAATATGCTTATTTATGGCACCAATGCGCCTTCCACTAGTGTGGATATGTGGAGTATCTGTGTCGGTGCGTGTGTCCGTGTCTGTGCGTTTATTTAACTGCTAGTGATTGCCCTGGCCGATATGTAGCTAATGGCAAGAAGCGGGAGCTATAAGCAACAAAGGATGGCAAGGCCCTATCCCTTAGCTTCTTTGTCTAATAAGCTTGGAGGGACAAAGAAGGAGGGCACTGTTAACTGTGAAGTGTGTGCAAGAGAAAGGTGCTGAGAGAGTGAGAGAAGTGCTGGACGATAGAGGAGTGTTACTGCAGTGCTTCAATGCTTAAATTCATCTAACCAGCTCCTTGGGGATACTTACTTACACGCAAATTGTCTACTTTATGGTTTTGACCTGACCTTTCATTTATAACTAATTTACTGTGCATAAATAATAGTATAGAAATATTCGTAGAGTGCGATCCAGCCACAGAATGAGATTTACTTTTAGGTGAGTCCTAAAAACCAAAAAAAAAAACTATATAAAATATTTAATTAGGGATTTATTTATCGGAAGTCATTCCTTTTTAATTTACTTTAAGAAAAATAGAAAAGATGATTCTGATAATATATTTTTGATTTGTATATTTTTAGCTGTTTAATAATAAGAAAATGTATTTTATTAAAAAAACCTATAAAATTATAATTAATTTCCAAACTCCCCATTATAATGGATAATTACCCAAAGTTTATGAAACATTTTAAAACCTTTATATTCCAAATAAAAACTTATTGAGTTTCTATCCCCAGATTTTTATTCATTCCCACATAGTATCTAGAGAAGTTATTTGCCATAACCCTTTGGGGGAACCAAGTGCAGTTAATTAGAGAGTTCACTTACCTCGCTCGTCCATGGAGGGGCCCGTGTAGGTGCGGTGGGTTATATCGCTGCCGGCGACTAAATCACCGAGAAGTGCTGTTTTGTGCAGTTTTGTGCCAGTGCTAAATAGATTGCAGAGTTATACAAATTACAGATTAAGTGCAAATTACAAACAGGCCGAGTGAGATACAGTAAAAGGCAAATGCTGTGCACGTGTAAGTCATGTGCGTGGTTCGGTGCTTGGTTTATTTGCATAAGTGCATAAGTACTTGGATTTGACAAGTTGCATAACCTTAGTTTGTTTCGGAGGGAAAATGGCTTAGAGTTGGTCATTAATCGGCTTAAAGCATTACAGATATTCCTGGAATAATGGGGTGATGGTGATACAATGGCCAATTACCACTACGAGGGTTAGCTATCGGACCGGCAGTCAGACTCTACATTTCCGCCCTTAGGCATTACAAATTAATTGTACATGCCACCCAGGGACCCTATGACACCGCCCACTCTCTGGCTGTCTGCCTGTTGGCCTGCTCTCGCTGGCTGTTTTCGTTCCAGCTTAGAGGAAGTACTGTCCAAGTGCATGACTCATTTGAATATTTATTAAGATGAAATGCATTAAAATCCGATTATATACATAAGTGGTCTACAAGTGCCCAGGGATCAGAAAGCAAAGAGCACACAAATCGCCTGTTTATGTGTGTTGTTTGTAGTCTGCTGGCAGTTGTTGGACTTATTCATTAGTTGGCTTTTTAACCGGAAATTGTGGCATACCCAAGTGAGTCAATTATTTTAAAAGCTTTCTGCATAAAGTTTTCAGCTGCCTCGGTGGTTAAGAGTCGAGTTAATGAACGCCTTTCTATGGGACTGTGGGTGTAGGAGATTCGGAAGTCCAATCACACATACATATGTATGTATGCATGCTAAGGTTTCGTGAAAGTTGTTTGCCCCCCCTTCTCTTGATCTAAAATGAAGAAAGTTTTTAGCTCGGTCAGACCGAACCCAAGCCCAAGAGCCGCTTTTCAACCCCACACATACTTAGGTGGGCTGGGAATCGTTGGCACTGGCCCTGCCGATCCAATGGTCGAAGTGCCCGACTGCTCCCCATGCGTATAGTAGGTGTGAGGATGTGGATGGGAATGCGAGTGCGGACCGGCATCGACCACCACCACAACGTCATCGACTGAGCTGCGTTCCAAGTCATCCATATGGGAGTGGGTGGGCTTCTTGTGGTGGTTCGTTGTGGCCACCTCGACGACGACATCGTCATCGTCCAGGGTGTGCGGACTGTGTGAGGCCAGCACCAGCGGATTGTTGATCCCCCACGACGGTGGATGCAGATAGTGTGGATAATTTGAATAAATTTCAGCCCGTATGCGGTCATCATAATCATCATCGTCAGTATCCTCCTCATCGCCGTCCCCATCGCCATTGCCATCGGCATCCCCGTTCTCATCATCCGTCTCGTTCTCCTCCTGGTTCCCGTCCTCGGAATCCTCTCGTGCTTCATTGTTGGGCTCGTCGTGGTACTCTATGTTGTTGGACATGAGCTCGGTGGTGCCATTGAGGCTATGCGGATGTTTCTGCTTCGGTTTGGGCCTCGGTTTCGGCTTCGGTTTCGGTTTCGCTTTCGGTTTCGGATGCTTCATTTTGGGCAGACCGTTGGGGAAAAATATTATTCTATCTGCAAAGAGCCAGCAAAAGGGGTGGTGCGGCAAGGAAGGGCATGCGTGCGGTGCAGGGTACAAAAGAGACAAAAGAGAAAGAGAGAATCGTTTAGTGCCGCAGAGGTGCAAATTGTTGTAGCGTAGCTCTTTCTCCATTAAAATAAGTGTGCAACAGTGTGGCGTGGGGTTTATTCGAAGTGTGCGAGTATTTAATTAGTGCAATTAGTGTGCGCTCTTACAATACAATATAATATAATCTGCTCTACGGATTGCTCTACTCGTGGGTGCTCTTAATCCATTAGTGCAGTGCTCTGGAAGTGGGGTCATGGTTGAAAATGAAATTATGTTTCCGCGTGATAAAATCAAAGCGATTTGAACAGTGACTGATAGAGGGATATAAAGATGTTTGGGGTTGGGTTGGGGTGTTCTCCCCTGTTTGGTACTGCAGTTAGCCCTGTGGTTCTTGAGCTAGAGACTGTCTATGGATGTGGGTGTTGGTGTGGGTGTGGGTGTAAATGGCTGTTTTGTAGTTAGTGTGGGTTAGATATAGAGTTAGTAGAGCTTTAGCTAGAGCTTGAGGGCGATTAGATTAGATAGTTCTAGACGTGTTCGAGTGCAATCAATCTAAAGCACAGACTCGCTTTGGTTTCGGTGGGTGGCAGTTTACTTAGCATGTGACTATAAATATAGTTTATGGGCTGGCTTAGTGAGTTTCTTTTGTAAGACTTACTGCTACTGCATATTTTGATGGTGACAGATACAGAGAGAGAGATAGAGATATATAGAGATATATTTAGAGAGAGCGAGAGAGAGAGAGAGAGATAGTTTGCGGTGACTTCAAACACGGCAGCTTGGATTTACATTGATATATATAGTATATACTATGGCATATTGATATACATTCGTATACGTGATATTAACGATTCATATTATATATAGGGTATATATCTATATAGGCATATCGATTACAGTTTACTGATCGCAGAACATGGGTTTCTTTTGGGTTTTGGGTTTTCTCTAGTTTTTTTTTTTATTTGTATTTTGTTGATGCAGAAGCGTGCGATAGTTTTAGTTTCTGGTATTTGTTTAGGTTACTTAAATGTTTAGGCTAGTTTCGGGTTTTGAGCGTTTCACAAAGGTACATAAAACTAAAGGAAATTCCAAACGAAAAGTAAACCAATTGAAATCAAAATCAGTTCCGGTACATAATAGTTTACCATACGGATAAGAAAAGAAACTCAAGAACTGTGTACCACAGGTTGACAGAGAGAAATAGATAGATAAAGAGATATAGAGAGAGAGAGAGAGAGGTATAGACACACATAAGAACTGAGGATAATTCAAATCAAAGAACCATATTGTTTTCCACGATTTTCGAGGCAATTTTTCTCTCTCTGCTGTTGACGCGTTGTGGGGTTTGTGTTGTTGCTTGTTGTAGTTGTTATTGTAGTTGTTATTGTAGTTATAGTTATAGTTGTGGTTTTAGTCGGTCAACAGTGGAGCATCGGCAGACGGCAGAAACTTACCCACACACGGATTGTGATTAACAATATTAAAGATACGATCACAGCGCTTTTTCATATGGTTGTTCGGACAGATGCACCCGAACATGGGCGAGAGACGGAGATTAGTCCAGGAATCGTGGCAGGCATCCCTGTAACGAATCAAGTTTGGAAATAGTTTTAGCCACTTTCTCGTTTACCCTCGGATAACCGCAGGCCCAATCTCACTTCCCCCACCAGCCAGCTAATTGAATTCATTTGGATTCCCCAACCGCCAGAAACCAACACCGAAGCGACTTCCGCTTGGCGCAAGCAAAGTTTAAAATTGGCAATTACATCAAAAATGCATATACACAAGGCACTGCAATTAATATTTTATCGCATAAGGTGGATCTCCGGCACCCGGCAGCAGGGACCCCGGGAACGGAAAACGGAACCCAGAACCCGAAGAGAGCCAAGTGGCGGAGCCAGAATGCTCGGCATGCGTGTCGAAAGTTTTAGGCGGCGCCGGGAGAGAGAACTTTAAGCCCGAGTTTCGCAACTACCAACTCCCAGCAGGACTGCCAGCTCTCAACAGCCGCCGCAAAAAGTCATTTCGAGTTATTAAAACATTCAGAACGTTTGCATTCAAGTGTATCGAAGTCGGGGGAGGCCAGAGTCAGACCCAGACCCGAGACCCAGACACGGCACCCGGCCACGAGGAAGTCGCGTCAGTAAGGATATGTGATGGCTAAAGGAAGCAGCAAGATGCCGGCAAGCAGGAAGTTTCATTTCGCCTTCTGTTCGCTCAACTTGACTCCTGTTTACGCTGCTGTCTTGTGTGTATGTGTGCACTGTTTTTTGCCAATAAAATCGAATATCGAAATTGAATGTTCAACGACGAAGGGGGGTGGAGACTCTGCTGCCATTCGAAGGTGGCAGGTGGCAGCCCCTTGACTCCACTTTTTGCTGGCTGCCACTGCCAATGCAATTTGCATTTACCGTTAACCATTAAGCGTTATGGCCAGGACAGGCCACGCCGTGGCTGTGGCAAGAGCCAAATCAATTTTCTTATTAAGCCAAACATTCTTTAATTGAATTTTCATTTTATCAATTGGGTTTATGGAGAGCTCTTGGCCAGCATTTCCTTTGCTATATAATTTGTACGTGGTTACTCCTTTTGCCTTCTTATAATACGGAATACCAATGATAAATCTTACTGTGTGTAATAATAATTTAAATAGTTTTTCCTTTTACACTAGAAAAATATACTACATTTATTTTTATAGAACTCCTTCTTTGTCTTACCTGTTTTCCATTTTGCATTTATTATCACGCACTTTGCAATGGGTTTTGAAGTCCTCGAAGAGCTTCAGGCATTTGCGCTCCTGCTGGCACACGGACAGTGCGTGGTTGCACGTGGGCAAGGCATCAATTGGATAGGGATCCTTTTCGGCTGTTTCGAGATAAACCAATTTGTACTCCGCAAAGACCAAATCAGGCGAGAGACAACTCACCTTTCTTCAGGACGAATCCGCATGGATGATCGAAGAGAAAGTCCCGAAAGTGATTGCAATCGGGATCCATGCCGGGCTCCTTGCACAGGCAAGTGGGTCGAAAGAATTGAAAGGCCTGGAGGGTACGCAGTGCGGCCTGGCACTTGGTCACCGTCACCGTGCTGCAGGACACTGCAAAAGATAGAGAACGAGAGAGAGAGAGAATGAGTGAGTGAGAGTGAGTGGGTGGCAAGTGAGTGACAGTGGAAAGCATTGTGTGGATTGGAGCGGTTTTATATTTATACATACTCGGATGTATGCTTAATGATCTATAAATGGCAGCCATGCTTAAACTTTGACATGCTCTTTCTTGTTGTTCATTTCGTTTCGTTTCGCTTCGTTTCGAATGGAATCGTTTCTGGCTGGCAGTTTGGTGAGCGGAGCTGCACATCGATTACCAAGTGGTGGCCCATGACAGTTGTTATAAATGGCAGCCCAGCCAGACAACTACCAACCAGATCCAGACACATGTCATAATAAGAGCTATGAGAGCAGTTACAACAACAACAAAAGCAACAGCAACAGTATGAATAATTGAGTCTCCAAACAAAACGGTCGATTTAAGCGACCAATGAAGCGAGCCATGGACGTGGTCCGGATAATATTTTATAACATAATAAATTATGTTTCATATCACACAAACACAAGGACATGCGCTGGCACATGAGCATGTGACAGCTTATTGGAGCATATGACAACTACTACCAAACAAAAGGCAAACATCTGTTGGCCATCTATTGTCCTTTTGGCCATAAAACATAAGCCCTACTAATAAACTCGGCTGCGCCAACACTTCACAAACATGACCAAACACAGACACCACCCCTATCCTCCTATCCTCCCATCCAATCCTCGCATATACTCGAACTCGTATGTAGAAAGGGGAACAGAGAGAAGGAGACGGCCCCGGACTCGTTTGGCTCGTCATAAGCCGTAAAATCGCCAAAAAGCAAAACAAGCAAACTGCCGGACAATGGGTTCCGAGCATAATGGGAAGAGAAGAGTGGCCACGCCATGTGGTTCACGTCACTCATCCTCATCTGACCCGTGCGCAACGCACACACACACAAACAGAGTCCGAGAACTCCAGTCCCAACCTCAACCCTTGTGATTGGCCCACGACCCGACGACCATGGGTCCAGTTCACTTCGGTCCAGTCCGGACATGATTATTTGCTAGTTGAACATAAAGTTGCTTCCGCCATGGGGGGCCACATTGGAACATTGACATCGACTACGCAACAAGTGACATTTTTCACAGGCATCCATCATTTTTATGCCCCTGCCCTGATCCATCACATTTTTTGGTTGGTCTTTGGGGCTTTTGGTTTTCCACTGAGGGGAAAATACTCTATATAAGTGTCAAAATAAAGTTTTTGAAAGTAATATTATTTATCTATTAAAGGTCAGAATATTAGAGCAATTTTTCATTCTACAATTAATGAGTTCTTGAGAGGAGGTTTTTAAACACTCGAAATTTTATTAACAAAAAGATATTAAGCCTGAAAATACTCGTGTTGCCTCATGACTTTAAGGCTGTTAAATGCCTTAAAGTCATGAGACAACCCGAGTACTTTCAGCTTTGAAGTTTAATCAACGGGAAAAATTGCGCAAGAAATTGTATAATGCTAATGAAGCTATTTAAAATATGTGAAATGCATACTATTCAATTAAGTAAATTTAAATTTATCCTTATCGAAGTTGAGATTATTCTATTCCTAAATGTTTTCTTTGAGTGTGGTATATTTTTTGGCTTTCAGTGGCCTCAATTAAAACTCATTGGCTCCCCAATGGCAGTAGCGTTTGCCACAGAGGTCGCTCTCCTCAGAATTCCCAGACCAGACTTAAGTTCTTAGTGCATTTGATGGCTGGCTGGCTAACTAGTTCCCAGCTCTTGACTACTGGCTCTGGGGCTGGTAGTGGCACCTTTGGCTTTGGTTTCGTTTGGTTTCGTCATTGCATGCTGGCCAGTCATAAAAAAATAAAGGCAAGGCGAGTGGTTTTTATGCTTCGTCGCCATCAACTGACGCCATTTGCTGTTTGTTGTTGCTGCTACTGCTGGCTATTTTTTGCTGTTGTTTTTTGCTTTTTTTTTTTATATTTTTTTTTCATTGCCGTCGCCGTCGCAGTAGCCGCGCCGCCATTGCCATTGCCCTTGCCTTTTACTGTTATTGTTAAGTCCTCAATTCGTTTTTATTCGAAACGCGTTTCCGGTTGTTGAGTTGGTCGCTGAATTGGTTCAATGATTTCTTTGTTTGTTTGTAGTTGGTGGGGGTGCTATTGTGAGTGTGAGTGTGAGAGCGAGTGTGACTTTGAGAGAGTGTGTGTGAGAGTGACTGAATGGGTTTGTGTTTCAATGAGTGCTTGTATGAGTGTGTTTGATTTTTTTCCCCCCTGCTTCCCTCTTCTTTATTTGATTTTAGTTTGTTATTTGTTTTCCTTTGGTCTTTTCTATTGCTTTTTCCTGGTTTTGGCATTTTATTGCCCGGCTCTAGATGAAATTTATGAGTCATTTATTAAGTTTGCGCATTCAAAGTCGTATAAATTATTATTATCGAGCATATTAATTACGCTGAGCCGAGCCAGGCAAATTGTGAACAGTGGGGCGTCCCCCATCGGTTCCACCCACCCCCTATTGGTCTGTCAACGCCATTTGTGGGTCTTTTGTGTTTGAGATATTTTTGTGCTCAGACTTCCTGGGCATCCCGACATCCCGGCAGCCCGGCAGCTCGGCAGCCGGTGGCATTTCCTGAAATCCTGTAGTCCACAATATGACGGCGCTGGAAACACATGTCCTTTGTGTCCATATTTAACAGGCGCAGCATGCACATTGTGCTGTGAACGCCTGTGAGTATGGGTATGTGCTGATATTATTGAACCTTCGACAAGTGCCCGCAGTGGCTCAAAGTGAGTGCTGGGTGCTGGCAGTGCACTGCCAGTGGAAGTGGAATGCCCAAAAGTATGCCATGCAAAGGCACGACTACTGCAGCTTCCGGCGCGCCGGAGCAAAAACAGCCAAAATATATACATACATACATATGTACTTACATATATATTTATCACCCAGCTGGGGCATTGAAGCTGCTTTTAAAGGCTTTTGACGGTCGTGCCGTCGCATATGAACAGCAAGCTCCGCTCCGCCGAGAGGAACAAAAAGAACAGAGAAAAATGCAAAGAAAAACCTGCATGAAATGCAATTATCATAAATATTCAGACAGTGTCCTCGCGTGCTTTTGGCGGCTTTAAGTCTGGCTATCCTATTGCTGTCGTTTTGTCTTCGTCTCATATCCATATTTGGGGGACATTTAAAGGACAACGCGACAGCCATTAACCTGAAGCGCCAACAACAAAAAGTAATTTCACTTTTAAATGAAAAAGTTCAAAGTGCGTTTGGTTTATGCCACACAAACAACACACACACACACACATGAGAGAGGAGAGTGAGAGATTCTGGGCCATAAAAACAAATGCCAAATGATTTCTGCTGTTTTCCATTTGGCTTTTTTGTGGACTCCCTCTGCATCTCTCCCTGCTCTGTTCTGATAAAAATTAGACGCTGGCCAGCAATTGTAATCGTAACTTTTTATTGGGGACATGATGCGTTTGCGTTTGCATTTGCAATTGAAATTGAACGTATGGAAGGGGAAGGATAGCTCTTCCTATTCGATGATACCGAGTACACGGGCCTTGCTGAGAAAGTCCGTGCGTTGCACATAAGCCCCGGACATGGTGCGGCGTCCTGTGTAGGCCTGGCGACCGTGCAACACCCGCCAGTTGTCGAAGAGTACGATGCTGCCCGGCAGCAGCTTAAGACTCCACTGCTGTTGCTCCTCGCGTACAATCTGCAAGAGCTGGCGCAGACTGTCGTAGAAATCGGACATCTCTGACTGAGGCAGTGTATCGAATACGGCACGATCGTAGACATTGAGACGCAGCTGAAGGAAATCCCCATTAAGCGGATCCACACGGATAATGGGAGCCGTAAAACAATGGTGTTCTCCCTCTTCTATGTACTCGCCGGGCACCTGCACCCGACACAGCACTTCGTAGGCGTTGGGAAAGCGACGACGGAGCTCGTGGGCGACATGCAGGCCATCCACAAAGAAGTTCTCGCCACCAGTGCCGCCGGAATGTTCAATGCAGTGGAGGGCCTGCAGGCCAGCGGCATCGCAGAAGTACGTGTTGTCCGTGTGGGAGCCCAGATAGAGCTTAGTATAAGCCGTGTCAGCGTGATCTTGCTTATCGCTGAAGGTCCACATCTCGCCAAAGAAGGTCTTCATCAGCGGAAATACGCAACGCAGGGCCAGCTCCGTCATTGTTGGCGTGGGGGCCACGTCATCGATGAACACAATGCCATAGCGAACCAAGGAGGCCACCAGAGACTTGGACACCTCGTCACTGGCCACCAGCTGGGGCAGGGAGAAGCGCAGATGGCGCTCATTTTGCAAGACTATGCTGCGATTCCAGGGCGTCAGAGAAGTGGACTTTGATCGACGGCTTATCACCCGCTCAAGCTGCGAATCAAAGATGAAGTCCAAGTCATAGCTGGACTGATGGCCGTCGCTCCCTAAGAAGTTCGATTAAATTTTATCTCGATCTCGACAGAAGCAATCTGCTCACTTACACTGAACCGAGAACTTATCCGATTTATATTCGGTTTCCACAGCCCGCACATCGGCAGGCAGATCCAAGTAGATCATAGCGACGCTGATTTGTCTCCAAATTAAGACACTCCCCACAACGACAGTGATCTCGCAGCCAGAACTCGTTAATCTCTAGGCATTCACCGGTCTTCGGATGCTTCAGTACGCAACATCTTGACATCAAGACAGCCTCCGACTATTTGAGAGAGCGCCAGCATACTAAAGTTCTGATTAGCGCTGACTTGAGTGCCGACCAAACAATGGCTTATCAGTGAAAGATTTTCCGCCTCTCTGCTATGCCAGAGATAACCAGAGAATTGATGGAAACCTTTGCCTGATTACACTACGAAACAAAGATATTTATATTAAGAATGTATTATTAAACGAATTAAACATTCAACGACCAACGCTTTTATGTGTACCATGTGCTAGCTTACAGTAGGTATATTTTTTAGTGTTTAAGAGATCATTCTGAAACCCTAAGCTGAAATATCTATTCTAATTCGAGAGAAATTATTGAAATATATTTGATGTTAATATTTTTCCAGCAATTTAGCGATATGTTAATAGCTAAATGTAAGTGGGTTTACTTTCTGGAATTAAAACATTTAGAAAGCAGAAGAAGAAAATAATTAATAAATCGTATATTATCTTGAAGTCAGACGCAAGGGTAGAGTTTATTTTGTTTTAAATTGTTCAAAATTGATAGCTTTGATATTTATCATCGCAGCAATCATCAAAATAAAACTCTGAATATTCAGGACTAGTCAGCATTTGGAAAATTCAAAGCTATCGAGATATCTCCATACAATTTGTGGGTAAGAAAAATTCGGTTAATAATTATATGTTCACTAAAGCGACACTTTATTTTGTTGCTAAAAATCCCAAGCACGCGCTTACTCCCATTTACTGTTCCAGAAAATTTAAAATTAACATAACACATTTTTTTTTGTTAGAAATAAAAATGAAATCAATGAAAACAATAAAAACTTCCTGGGCTGATGAGGTGGATGCGGATTACGTGGATGGGCTGCCACCTGCCAAGGAGTACACTGACGGCAACTTGAAATATGTGACTGAGTACAAGTTCAACGAGGAAGGCAAGAAAATGAAGGTGGTGCGCACCTACAAGATCAAGAAGCAGACCGTGCCCAAAGTCGTGGCACGCCGTCGCAATTGGTTGAAGTTCGGGGACTCGGTGGAGGATAAGCCGGGTCCATGCTCGCAGACCACCATGGTCTCCGAGGAGGTTCACATGGTCTTCCTCAGCTCTAAGGAGCTCGAGCAGGCCAACGAACCTCAGCTGGAGCCGGGCAAGAACATCGCCAAGTGCCGCATCTGCAATGGCGAACACTGGTCCGTGAACTGTCCATACAAAGGAACGTCCATGGACAGCAAGACTTTGATGGAGAGCAAGGCCACAGCGGCAGCAGCCGCTGCCGTCAGCGATTCCTCCAAGACGGGGAAGTATGTGTCGCCGTTCCTGAAGGAGGGCGGATGCGCGATCAATGGCTCCGGAGTGGGAGCTAAGCCCTGGGCCCGCGAACGCTCGGCTGTGCGCATCTCCAACCTGTCCGAGTCGATGACCGAGGCCGATCTGGAGGAGCTGGTGAAGAAGATCGGACCCTACAGCAAGTTGTACCTGGCGCGCGAGAAGAACTCTGGACTCTGCAAGGGATTCGCCTATGTGCACTTCAAGTTTCGCCAGGATGCCGCTGCTGCCATCGAAATTCTCAACGGGCATGGCTACGATCACTTGATCCTCTGCGTGGAGTGGTCCAAGCCGCAGCCCTAAAGGGAGCCGAATCGCCATTAACTTTAATTTAATTTTCGTACCTTGCCTCTACGTTAAGTCGATGCGGAAATAAGCCGCACCGCAAAGATATCGAAATAAAATATATATATGGACGGGCGAGCTCTTTCCGTGCATGCGACCAGACTAAAGCCCTTAATACTTCGTTTTAAATGCGATTTTTTTCCCTGTGTTTCTCACAACCACACAAAGGTGAAAGCCACTTAAATGGAAGCCAACGTAGTGGGGACAGGACTGCGAACAGGGATTGGGGCAAGAAAAAGCTGAGAAATGCCACAAGACGTTGGCCGGACTGGAATGAACATTAATAATTAAATATAAGAGCAGACTTATGCTCACGAAACTACAGAGCCATGACGATGGGCTGAGGAAGGCATATGTAGCTGGAGGTGGAGGTTGAGGCATACCTACTCGTAGATGGTAATAGTTCGGTTCGCGGAAAGTCTGTCTTAGATACACATTTTGAATGAGGGGCGGATCAAAGCGAAGCACAAAAGAAATTTATTCCTTGTTTTGTTGTAGTGGCTGCTTTTGCTTTTTGTTGTTTATCCCATGGAGGGAGGTAGGGTGGAAACCGGCTAAAGCAAAGTCTAAAACAAATTACTGAATAATTTATAAATTAAGTTTTTCTTTGGACCGGGCTCATTCGTTCGTCCTTGTTCGTCGCTGGCCATTGTTGGCCACGAATGGATTGTATGGCCAGCGGGGCAGTTGCTGGAGAGGGAGCAGGAGCATGGCGCCGTCCGCCAGGCCGCCAGCTACGCGTCTTCCTTTTCATTTTGCACCTTTGGGTCATATGCGCAGAGCACACAAAAATTCTATAGGGAATTGCCGACCATATGATACCACCTGTTTATCAGATATATATGATCTTTACAAAACACTTTACACCAATAGAAGAACAGGCACAGCCAATACGGATAGTCCAATGAGGATGATTTTTGATTATACAGAAAATGAAATAATTGCTGAATCAAGAAAATGTATATGCACATTTTGTATATGTGTATGTATGTACATTTCATGGGGGCAAAAACTTCATCTTCAGCTATCCAATATACCCCTTGTACTCTATGTGTACGGCCATCAACTCGACGGGTGTCGCTCGCTCTCTCTCTAGGGCATTTGAATATTCAAATGCTTTTTCTTTTCCCTCTCACTTTGTCCCTGTCTCGCTGACTTCTTCTTCTTCGTGCTCGTCTGTTGCGCTTTAAGTATATACCGTTATTTACTGTTTTATTGCACGCGCGCGCCTGCTCACGGAACACACGAAAATTGTTGAAATAATTACATAGTTGTCGAAACAAACTCTCACACTACAATCACACACACGCTTTCCAGGTATACAAAAAAGAGGAAGAAAATGTAAATAAAATTAATTCTCAAATGACCAAAAAGCTGGCACATAATCAGCGTTGATGGTGCCACAAAATACTCAAGAGCTCTGCCAACACTTGCCACGCAAAACTTTTTGTTTGGATTTTTGTGTAAACATATCATCAGGAGGCGGGAAAAAATATACATACATATGTACAATGTACATATATATATTTAGGTATATCGATTTGATTTGAAATGAGTTTTACCTGGAATGGGCCCGCAAACACGGGGTATAATTTCCAGAATGGCGGAACATGAGGGATCTTCGAAGCACAGTTGACGTGCCAGGATGCAGTTCAAAATGGCCACAACACCTTTGATGGTGGAACCTGAAAGATAAAAAGTAATCAGTAAAATTCAATTAAATTAAATAAACTCCAACTAAACAGTAGTTCATTTATTTTACAGGTTATTTTATCGGTTTGACAAGAGATTTTTTAAAAATATAATAACTAAAAAAACATTCTCGTGAAGAATGGAGCTGGATCCGGATTTAATAGAGGAATTTACAAATCTAAAGGTCTCCACGCGCCCCATTAGCGCCGAGGAGCTGGCCAACTTCGATGTGAATGCGCCACTGCGTCAACGCAATGCGATCGACCACCCCTCATACAAGACGATACCGAAGTTCTTTCAGGCTCCGCCGCCGCCGGAGGACACCATCCGACAGAACCTGCGCAAGGAGGCGCATTCACTGTTTCTGCACCAAAAGTCGGAGGAGCTGCTGGACAGCAACGAGCTGAATGAGTTGTGGAGCACGCTGGAGGAGCATGTCACCCAGACGACGTCAGCAAATGAGCAGCTGATTGATTTTGATGCTTACTTCCTGGTGCAGGGTGCGGTGAGTGGCAAGATCCGCAAGTATGTGACGGCCCGACTCTTGGGCACTCTGCTCGTCCTCTCACCACACCCTGGGCTGGTGGAAATTGTGTCGGTGTTTAACTACATCATGCGCAAGTCGTGGCTGAAACAGGGAAGGATCGGTCTCTCGTTCTACGACGAGGCCGGTCAGGGCTATCTACGAGAGACCGACATGGAGCAATACATCATCGACTTGATACCCAGCTTGGCGCAGATACGCGACTGCATGGAGCCCTCGTTCCAGCCCTTCTACGTCTGTACCGTGGTGAAGAGGTTCTTCTTTTTTCTGGACGTGCAGCACAGAGGACGCATTCGCATTCGGGATGTCCTGGAATCGGGCATGCTCTCAGAGCTGCTGGATTTGCGCGAAACGGCCGATCCAATGGATCCGCAGGGGCAAAATCCGTTCTCAATGGCGGCTGTCCTTGGGGTTTATCAGAACTATCTGAGCCTGGACAAGGACCACAATGGCATGCTCAGCAAGAAGGAGCTGGCTGACTACGGCTCTGGCACCCTTACCGCCATCTTTCTGGACCGCGTCTTCGAGGAGTGTCGCACCTACGAGGTCCAAATGGACTACAAGACCTTCCTTGACTTTTTTCTGGCTATGGATAATCGAAAGGTGAGCAAGCTACACCATTAATATTCAATTGATTTCTAACCAAAGACTAACCCCAGTCGCCTCAAGCTCTGCAATATCTATTTCGCATCTTGGACGTGGGCCACAGGGGCTACTTAACAGTCCCAACATTGCACTTCTTCTTCAAGGGCATCCAGGAGAAAATGAAATCGCAGAACGAGGATCCCGTCAATTTTGAGGACATCAATAATGAGATATTCGACATGGTCAAGCCAAAGGATCCCTGCAAGATAACCCTGCAGGACCTGATAAAGAGGTGTGTTAAGCACGGAATAACAATTCCACACACGACTAAAATTGCTTCCTTTTCGCAGCGGGCAGGGCGAGACTGTGGTGTCCATACTAATTGAATTTCATAAATTCTGGGCATACGAGAACCGTGAGGAGAATCCGCAGAATGTTTAATAAACAGCATTCCACCCGGCAAGGCGCAGCACGAGTGCGGTAATAGCATTAAGTGAAATTTAATTAAATCCCCGGTCAGGCCCGGTCTGTCCCCGTCTGGCTGCCCAGCCAGCCCCCGGGTAATGCACTGCCATCCTGCTGGCCGCTGGTATTGTTTTTGTTAATTTTGTATTTCGTGTCATACTTATATGCAAATTTGTTGTGTAAAGATTCACAAATATTTCTGGCCCATTTGTATTTGCGAGTCTTTTTTTTTAATTGCAAATTGCTCATAAATATTTATGCGATTGCTTTAATTATGTTAATTGAGCGTGCCCAATATGTAAGGGGTTTAAGGAATTTACAATAATTTTTATTGAAAATCAGGCACGAAAAATTGCGGAGGGGCTCTTAGTTTTTATCATAATTTTCATAATTTTATGTTCGACAACTGCAGAAAGGGGGAGCACAGAGGGAGAGACAGGAGGAGCTGCCGGTTGATAAAACATTCATTTCAATTTCATTTCATTACGTAAAATAAACCAAGTCATCCGGACGGACAGCAATGCTACAACTGCAGAGGGCGAGAGAGTCATCCAGGACCCGGACTCGGACTCGGACTGCTGCTGTCTCTCTAAGCAGTCAAGTTTATACTCGACTCGTGGCAGTGCCTTCCCGGCCATGGGCCATGATTCACTCTGGCACTGCATCTGCCCCACTCTTTCTGCCACTGCCACTCTACTCATCCGCCGGATGCCCAGTAAAAGTTGTAGTCTTCCACTGCTTCCACTCCGCCTCCTGCTGCTCATTAACGAAATGACCGTTTGCATATTGCAAGCAAGGTCGGTAGCTAGAGTGGGTGGTGGGTAGTGGGTAGTGGTGCTGGATCCGGACTCGGAATAACAAAAGAAGTGCCTTCAAAAATTCACGAATTGCATGCGGACGCAGCTGGAGTTGCTCCGCCGCAACTGCAGGAAGTGGCCTACTGGCCGGGCAACTAACCAGCACGGGTAACACTGAACAGTGGCCGTAACAGTAACAACCGGTCGGGCCGTAAAAGTTTTGTGGCACCGCCACTCGAATTGTTTTGCGGAAATAAAAATAAACAAAAGTCAGAAGAGAAAATTCCACCGACACGAAACAACAACCAAGTGACGATTGAGAGCCAACAGGAGTCGGTACGGTACGGATGGGTACGGTGCGGTTTGGTTGGACTTTAAAGTGTTTTATGGTTATTGGGTGCTTAGAATTGCATTGAGATATGCAGCGCGCGTCTGCCCCCGATGACAGTCAAGAAATTATCAGCGTCAGCTGGGCCCAACACACAAATTGCCAGGCCTCCCCTCCGCTTAACCAGCTGCGGGTCCATGTCCAAGCCGGCCCCCTGCGACCCATTTGGAATCACTTGGGGTCCGCCGCCCCCCCCCCGCCCCCCCCCCCCCCCCCCCCCCCCCCCCCCCCCTCCCCCCCCCCCCCCCCCCCCCCCCCCCCCCCCCCCCCCCCCCCCCCCCCCCCCCCCCCCCCCCCCCCCCCCCCCCCCCCCCCCCCCCCCCCCCCCCCCCCCCCCCCCCCCCCCCCCCCCCCCCCCCCCCCCCCCCGAAAACACACAAATCAAGCAAAAGTTGAAAACACAATAACAATTGTTTTGGGACACACCATAAATTTGCATGCCAAGAAGAGTAATGCTCTCCGCCGCCACCTCCACTTCCACCTCCACCAACGCCTGCGCCGGCCACCGCCACAAGGAAAAAAGCGAAATAGGCACATAAATATGCGACCGACCGCTGCCGAGGCACCACCTTCAGTTGCACACCCAGTTCTCCAGCCCACCAGCTACTGGGAGGACGACGACAACCAGAACAATTCGTTTGTGTCACAATCAGATTCGGCACAGGCAGAGGAACAGGCACTGGCACTGGCAAAGGCACAAAAATGTTCGCTTTTCGCGTTTCGCGTTGTTCGCCATGTTTCATGAATTATTTTTCTCAAACCCCAAAAACTTTTCCCCCAAAAACTTTGACTGCAAAAAGTATGCCAGCAAAAAAAGCATAGTGAGAGGGGATGGGGCAAGAAATTGACTGGGAACTGGCCAGTGTTGCACTGGCCCCAGCTCCTTCCTCTTGGGGAGCAGCTCTCCAGCACCAACCCAACCCAACCCAGCCCTGGCTTGTTTGCGTTGATTCGTGCGGCGAACATTTCGATTACCATTTTGCCTGGTTCACCAAGCCACCCCAGTCGATCCCTAGGGGAGGAGGTCGCGTGGGGGATTCCTCCAGTGTTTCGAATTTTCTGCAACTTCCTTTCTGCTGGCTGCCCTTTGCTCTCGTGGCTCTCATCCATGGGTCTGGTTCTGCACCAGGTTCTCCTGGTGCTCCAGCTCCTGCTGCTTCTGCTTAAATTTCAATTGTGTGCCAGGGGCACTGGCCCGACTCTGGAGCACTCTGGTGCAGGCTTTAATAAATTATGGCCAACGTTGGGGGTGGCGGAGCAAGATGTGTTGTTGCTGCTGCTGCTGCTGCTGCTGCTTCTGCTGCCGGCCCTGCATGCCACTTGGAAAAAGTTAATACAACAAATGCGCTACCCAACGGCAACAACAATTGCAATAACAATGACCGCATTACGAGGCCGCGAATCGTTGTTGCTGCTGCCTCGAAAGCCAAGTCTTCAACGATGGCGGCGGCGGCGTCGGCGGCGGCACTGGTAACATCAACAACATGGCCAAGAAATGGCAGCTTTACAACTTCCGGCAAGCAAGGACTACAGGCGGAGGTCTCGTCCTCGTAACTGTGAAATGTTCGCTGTGGTTATTTTTCCTTTTTTTGCTGTGGGTTTTCCTGTGCTCTTGCTGTTGCTGCTGCTTGGTGGCCATCCTTATGTCATTCGGGATTATTTTGTGGGTTAAAAACTAATTTTCGGTCATGAAGTGGATTTGGCTGTGCATGTTGCCGACATTCGGCGGCCCATAAATATGCAGCCCAGCGCAGTGGCGGCCAAACTGGAAACTAACGGCCAGCAAACGGCGGAGAGCCCCACGATTTTCGGTAGTTCATTTGCATGGAAAGCGATGGAGTTGGCCAGACCAAAAGCCCTACACATTTAGGAGTGTTCTACGCATTGGATCAATTGGAGGACTGGGCCTAGCTTGAATACGAGTATGGTTCATGGTTACTGAAGAGTTGCCATAGAAGATATTGCCTGAATATAGCTCAATGGAATCGTAAGTGGCAAGTTTTAATATATTTCCCTGTTAAATATATAGGACCATTACCCGGATCAATGGCAGATCTTAGCAGCTCTCAGGGAATGTTGTTCATGGAGCGGAAGAGGCCCTTTCTCACTTGGATATCTCCAGCAAATGTCAACAGTGGAAAGTGCGTGACCGAAATTATTTCATTTCATTTTATTTAATTTATGGTTCAGGCCCGCGCAGAGGTCCTTGGCTGCTGTGGCGGCTGGCATTTAAATTTAACTACAGACAGACAATACGAACAGGGCTCACTGGCAACAACAGCAGCCACAGCAGCCACTCTGCCCCACGAGCAGCAGCAGCAGCAGTGGCAACAACAACAACAACCACTCTGCCCCATCAAAAGCAGCAACAACAAGGGGCGACAACAACGGCAACATAAAATGTCGCCTGCGGCCATTTTCATGGGCAACCAACCGAATTGGGTGTTGAAGCAACAACAGCAGCAATAATAGCGGAAAAAAAATCTGTTATTCGTGGGTAGGTGGAGAGGGGAGCGGGAATGGGGATGCTTCTGGGGATTATGGTCAATTATGTGTAAATACAATTATTGTTATTGTTGTCGCTGTTGTTGCTGTTGGCCATGATGCTGTTGTTGCCGCTGGTTGTTGGCCATGTTGCTGGTTGTGTTTGTACCCTTACGAAGGGTATTTCGATTGCAACGCAAGGAAGAATCATTTTGTATTATATAACAGATATATTCTTGATCAGCATCAGCAGCGTAGCCCATGGCTATCTGGCTGAAACTTGTCACAAATAATCCTTAATCATCACTCATAATTTTTATTTTTAAAATATTCCAACCGAAACTAATAAACGGTAGTTTCTCCGTGGCTATTACAAGGTGTATTGATATCGGCTGAGCTTATCATAACAGCTATCATAGGAATAATCCACCTGCAAAGGGTATCAACAGCTTCCACCTCCGAGGCCAGCCTTCGCTGTTTTTTGTTGCTGAATGCTGTTTCGGTTATGGGTGTTGTAGTTGTTCTTGCGCTTGTAGTTGTTATTGCCAGTGTCATTTATGTTTTTCCATAATTGTAGGTACTGTTGCTGCCGTTGTTGCGGCCGATGTTGCTGTTGTCCATATTCGAACCAATATATGTATTCCATAAATATTGTTGTTGCTTTTTATTGCACGCCAGGCTGATCTTCCACCAGCCAACCAGCTCGAGACCCTTACCCACTCCATTGAGCCGTACTCCTGTTGCTGGCTGGTTGTTTAGTTGCTTTGCACGTTTCTGCCGTGATTTAAGTACATTCCCAGTCAGTCGCCAGCTCAGCAGAAAATAAAAGTAAAATGTAAGTAAAAGTAAAAAAAACATTTGCAGAGACGCTGCAGCAAAAGCCTTGCCAGCTCTGGCTGCTCTTTCCAATAGCGACTTAGTCACGTTACCAATGCTGCACTTGCCTGGGGTCATGATTGAAGGGATTGCATGGATTTTCAAGACTCAAATCTTCTCTACTCTTCCCCTATTTTAGTTTATGTTTTTATCGAACGTTGAGGAGGCTGTAGGACAGGGATTTCGGGTTGGAATTGAGTGGAAAGGAACAATTGAAAATTAACAATTCCACAGAAACGAAACTTACATCGGAATGTAAAGATTTAGAGGCTTATTCTTTTGGATTGTCGTTACAGCTTTTATATAATTGATCTACTTGTTTTTATGCTATGCACAGATGCTATGACAATCCTATTAAAACCCCTGAGGGGATCCCTATCAGCAATCATTATTAGCTTGTTAACTTCTACACTCGAGGCGCTCCTCTCCACCAAATGTATTCCATTTTCTAAATGTTATTCGCCGTCTGTCCTGCCCTGCCCCGCGCTGTCATTGCCCGGAAAACCAAAACAAAATAAACACATCAATAAACAGAGTTGACAAAGATTTGATTGCATTATTATAAAACAATTTGCATTCGATAAAAGTCAAAAGCAGGCAGCCAGAGTCATAAAAGTCGCGCAATGAAAATTGAGGGGGCTGGCTGCCAGAATGAGACGGAACCGTCGAA